ACAGAGGACCTGACCCTGGACCCCGACTCCGCCAACCACCTGCTGATCCTCTCGGCCGACCTCAAGAGCGTCCGCATGGGCTGCCGGAAGCAGGAGCTGCCCGACAACCCCAAGCGCTTCGACACCAACTCGCGCGTCCTCGCCTCGCGCGGCTTCCGCTCGGGGCGGCACTACTGGGAGGTGGAGGTGGGGCCCTCGGACGGCTGGGCCTTCGGGGTGGCCCTGGAGTCGGTCAGGAGGAAGGGCCTGACCCAGTTCTCCCCCGAGGAAGGGATCTGGGCCGTGCAGCAGAACGGGGGACGCTACTGGGCCGTGACGTCTCCGCAGCGGACGCCGCTGAGCCCGGGCAGGAAGCTGGGCAGGGTCCGGGTCTACCTGGACTACGAGGGCGAGGAGGTGTCGTTCTACGACGCCGAGAGCATGGAGCACATCTTCACCTTCAACGTGGCCTTCAGGGAGAAGGTGTTCCCGCTCTTCTCCGTCTGCTCCACCGTCACCTACATCAAGCTGTGCCCCTGAGGGGGCTCGACCGGGGCTCCTGGTGCTCGTCCGGGTGCCAGGGATGAGCTGGGGGGGGATGGAGTGGAGACTGGCTTTGGTGGGACACGGGGGAAAACGTCATGGGGAGAGGGTCTGTGGGGCAGCTGAGAGAAGGGAGCGGCCGTGGAGACCCCCAGGAACCCCCAGGAATTGTGGCCACCCCCCAGGAACCCCCAGAAACTGGGGTGAATCCCCAGAATTCCCTCAGGTGAGAACATCACAGGAAGGGTCTCCAGGGCAGCCGAGAGAAGGGAACGGCCGTGGAGACCCCCCAGGAACCCCCAGGAATTGTGGCCACCACCCCAAAGGTGGCCCCAAAGGTTGTGGTCACTGCCCCAAAGGTTGTGGCCACCACCCCAAAGGGGATGCTCAGGGGGAAAACATCACAGGGAGAGGGTCTGTGGGGCAGCTGAGAGAAGGGAATGGTCGTGGAGACCCCCCAGGAACCTCCAGGAATTGTGGCCACCACCCCAAAGGTGGCCCCAAAGGTTGTGGCCACCACCCCAAATAGGGTGCTCAGGGGGAAAACATCACAGGGAGAGGGTCTGCGGGGCAGCTGAGGGCAGGGAACGGCCATGGAGACCCCCAGGAATTGTGGCCACCATCCCAAAGGTGGCCCCAAGGGTGGTGGTCACTGTCTCAAATGTTGTGGTCACTGCCCCAAAGGTGGTGGTCACTGCCCCAAAGGTGGGTTTTGGTTGCCCCCTCCACCCTCTGCTCCCGTTCCTCTCCTCTGCAGGACTCTGGAAAAGGCCAAAAGGTGCTTTTTTGGGGGGGTTTTAATGGTGTTTCTCAGGTGTGTTTGTCCTACAAGACCCACCTGGGTCACTTTGGTGCTCCCCTGTTGCCCCTCCATTCCCAAAACACCCTTTTTCCCCCAAAAATGTAGATTTTGGTGCTGAATCTCACGTTGCCTCAGGTTCTCTCACCTCCCATCTCTCAGAAAAAAAACCCTTTTACCCTCATTTCTGGTTTCTTTTTCCCTGGACTTTTCCAAGGAGCCTACTCCGAACTCATGTTTTTGCCAAAACTCTTGGTTTTGCCAAAAAAAAAGCAGCTTTAAAAAATTATTTACAGGATAATCGGTGTGTTATCGCCTGAAGTGCTGAAAAATGGGATTTTTGGGGTTGATTTCTGGGTATTTTTGCCCCCTAAAACACGAGAATCCTTTTAGGAAACAGACTTGGGGGCGAGAGGGGAAGGTTTCTTTGATCCAAAGCGTTTCCTGGGGGGTTTAAAATGGGAAAAAGCGGAAATATCCCGGTTTTGGGGGGTTGTTTCCCGCCCTGAGAATCAGATTTTTATCTTTATTTAATGTTTGGTGTCAAATCCTCGTTATTTAAGGTTGCAGCAACTCTTGAACGGGGCGAGTGAAACGCCTGAATTTGGCGTTGCTGAAGTGCAGAAATGACAGAAATAAATAAATAAAAAAATCCCTGGAATAAGTAAAATATTCCCAGGACACGGTGTTTCCCAGCCCTGACTTGGTGTTTGTCTCTTGTTTTATTTGATTTGATTTGATTTGATTTGGTTTGATTTGATTTGGAACCTCCAGGATCGTTCCCAGCCCTCGAGTGGGACAGAAAACACAGAGGTTTGATTATTCCTGACCAGTGAAAAGCTGGAAAAAATCGTGGTTTGAAGGATTTTTCCTGCCGGGAATTTCAATCTAAACCAAATTCAGCCACTTTTGGGGCGAATCCCCCCGGTTTTGGGGCGAATTCAGACGGTTTGGGGGTGGTTTTGAGGCAAATTCCTCTGACTTGGGGGCAAATTCTGCTGGTTTTGGGGCAAACCCCTCCTGTTTAGGGGCAGTTCCTTCCTCTTTTGAGGCGAATTCAGCCAGTTTTGGGGTGATTCCAACCGGTTTTGGGGCAATTCCCGCCGGTTTTAGCTCAAATTTAGCAGGTTTGGGGGCGATTCTTTCCTGTTTTGGGGCAAATTCAAGCTGTTTTAGGGCTATTTCAACCTGTTCGGGGGCAAATCCCACCAGTTTTGGGGGCGAATCCCACCGGTTTTGGGGCAAATCCCATCGGTTTTGGGGTGAATTCCACCAGTTTTGGGGGCGAATTCAGCCTGGTTTAGGGCTATTCCAACTGGTTTTGGGGCCAATCCCACCAGTTTTGGGGGCGAATCCCACCGGTTTTGGGGCAAATCCCATTGGTTTTGGGGCGAATCCCACTGGTTTTGGGGCGAATTCAGCCTGTTTTAGGGTTATTCCAACCAGTTTTGGGGCGAATCCCACTGGTTTTGGGAGCGAATTCAGACGGTTTTAGGGCTATTCCAACCGGTTTTGGGGGCAAATCCCTCCGGTTTGGGGAGAGACTCCTGCCGGTTTCTGAGGCGAATTCCCGCCGTTTTTCTGAGGCGAATTCCCGTCGTTTTTCTGAGGCGAATTCCCGTCGTTTTTCTGAGGCGAATTCTCTCCTCTTTCTGAGGCGAATTCCCGCCGTTTTCCTGAGGCGAATTCCCGCCGTTTCGGGGCTTCCCCCGTGGGGTCCCCGGCGCAGCGCCCGTCCCGCGCCGGCCCCATAGCTCAGGGGGTAGAGCACTGGTCTTGTAAACCAGGGGTCGCGAGTTCGAATCTCGCTGGGGCCTCCTCCCGAGAGTTTTTATTTATTTTGCTGTTTTTATCCCCAAAAATAAAGTTCCAGCGGTTCCGGCCGCGCCGGGATCGGGAAGGGACAGGGAGGGATTCCCGATGGAGCGGGGTGGACCCGTTGGAGGACTGAGGGAAGTCCTGGATTATCCATATTCCGGCGGCTCGTTGGTCTAGGGGTATGATTCTCGCTTTGGGTGCGAGAGGTCCCGGGTTCAAATCCCGGACGAGCCCTTCTCTTTTTCCCCGTTGCTTTTCTCCTTTACTTTCCTTTTATTCGCCTTTTTTTTTCTGTTTTCTCCTTCAGTTTTATTTTTTGTAATTTTTTTTATTTATTTATTTTTGGTGGGTTTTTTTCTTGTTTCTTTTCTCCTTTAGTTTCCTTTTATTTGCCTTTTTCCCCCCCTGTTTCCTCCATCAGTTTTATTTTTTTCTTATTTTTGTGGAGTTTTTCTGTTGCTTTTCTTCTTTAGTTTCGGGGGGGGGTATGATTTTTTTTTTAACTTGTTTTTCTCCTTTACTTTTATTTTTTGTGCTGTTTCTCCTTTACTTTCCTTTTATTTTCCTTTTTTTTTTCTCCTTTACTTTTATTTTTTTTTAGTTTTATTTTTCTGTGGTTTAATTGCTGTTGTTTTTCTTCTTTAATTTTGTGATTTTTTTTTGCATTATTTTTAACTTAGTTCTCCCCTTTACTTTTATTTTTTTTATACTGTTTCTTTTTCTATTTTCTCCCTTAGTTTTATTATTTTTTTGACTGTTTTATTTCGGTTTCTTTCGTGTGGTTTTTTTTGTTTTGGTTTTGCCAGTTTATTTGTGGGCGTTTGAGGGTTTTTTGTTGGTTTTGGAGAGGAAAAAAAGCAGGAAAAAACCCCGCTGGCAGCGGTGGGATTCGAACCCACGCCCCCGAAGAGACTGGAGCCTTAATCCAGCGCCTTAGACCGCTCGGCCACGCTACCCTGGCGGTGGGGCTGCCCGAGCCTTCCTCTGCTGGGCGGCTGCCTCCTCATCCTCATCCTCATCTTCATCTTCATCCTCATCCTGTTCCTCATCCTCATCTTCATCCTGTTCCTCATCCTCATCCTCATCTTCATCTTCATCCTGTTCTTCATCCTCATCTTCATCTTCATCCTCATCTTCATCCTCATCTTCATCTTCATCCTCATCTTCATCCTCATCCTCATCTTCATCCTCATCCTCATCTTCATCCCCTTCCTCATCCTCATCCTCATCTTCATCTTCATCCTGTTCTTCATCCTCATCTTCATCCTCATCCTCATCCTCATCTTCATCCTGTTCCTCATCCTCATTCTCATCCTCATCTTCATCCTCATCCTGTTCCTCATCCTCATCTTCATCCTCATCCTCATCCTCATCCTCATCCCCTTCCTCATCTTCATCCTCATCCTTATCCTCATCCTCATCTTCATCCTCATCCTCATCTTCATCTTCATCCTCATCTTCATCTTCATCCTTATCCTCATCTTCATCTTCATCCTCATCCTCATCCTCATCTTCATCCTCATCCTTATCCTCATCCTCATCTTCATCCTCATCTTCATCCTCATCTTCATCTTCATCCTCATCTTCATCCTCATCTTCATCTTCATCCCCTTCCTCATCCTCACCCCCTTCCTCGTCCTCAGACCCATCTTCATCCCCTTCATCCTCAGCCTCATCTTCATCCCCTTCCTCATCCTCAGACCCATCTTCATCCCCTTCATCATCAGCAGCCCCTTCCTCATCCTCATCTTCATCTTCATCCCCTTCCTCATCCTCATCTTCATCTCCATCGCCTCCCCTTCCTCATTATCAGCCCCATTTTCATCCCTTCATCATCCTCACCCCCATCCCCATCCCATCCTCCTCACTCTCCCTGACCTCCCTCCTCCTCCTCCTCCTCCTCCTCCCCCCGCTCCTTCCTCGCTCCGTCCTGGTGGAATTCGGGCGGTTTTGTGCCGTTTTCCCGGTTTTTCTGCCCAAAAGCGGGTCTCTGTGGCGCAATCGGCCAGCGCGTTCGGCTGTTAACCGAAAGGTTGGTGGTTCGAGCCCACCCAGGGACGGGGCGGCTCCTTTTCCTCCCCGCAACCATTAGCGAGCGTTTATATGTTAATTAAATTCTGTGAGGAAAGGAACCCCGGCGCGCTGAATAAAAATCCTTCCCCGTTTCTTTATTCCCCGGAGTTTATGCCGTCTCTCTAAATTTAAAAGAGAGATTTTTTATTTCCCCCCCCCCCGCACACCGGGAGGGTCCCTCAGGGCTCTTCCCTCCCCTCAGAGCTCTTCCCTTCCCAAGGAGCTGCCGGGAAGGTCCCTGAGGGCTCTTCCCTCCCCTCAGAGCTCCAAGAAAGGTCCCTCAGACATCTTCCCTCCCCTCAGAGCTCCCTCAGAGCTCTTCCTTCCCCTCAAAGCTCCCAGGAAGGTCCCTCAGGGCTCTTCCCTCCCCTCAGAGCTCCCGGGAAGGTCCCTCAGAGCTCTTCTCTCCCCTCAGGGCTCCCTCAGAGCTCTTCCATCCCCTCAGAGCTCCCTCAGAGCATTTCCCTCCCCTCAGAGCTCCCTCAGGGCTCTTCCATCCCCTCAGAGCTCCCAGGAAGGTCCCTCAGGGCTCTTCCCTCCCCTCACAGCCCTTCCCTCCCCTCACAGCCCTTCCCTCCCCTCACAGCCCTTCTCTCCCCTCACAGCCCTTCCCTCCCGGCGGCGCTCCCGGCCCAGCCGGCGCCGCGCTCGTGGTGGATGTTGGCGGCGGCCCTGACGGCCGATTTCATGGCGGTGTCGATCCAGGCGTGGGGCTGCGCCGTGTGCTCCCCGGCGAAGTGCACCCTGCCCTCGGCGGCGAACAGCGCCTGCGAGTAGTCGGCGAACTGGTAGGGGGTGAAGGCGGCGAAGGCCCCCATGGCGTGCCGGTCCAGCTGCCACTTCTGCACGACGTGGCGGTCGCAGGCCAGGCGCAGGAAGTCCCGGCTCACCCCGTGCACGTCGGCCAGGTCCCGCAGCACCACCTCCACCGCCCGCTCGTCCGTCAGCGGCACGAAGAACTCCGAGTCGCGGTTCCAGGTGTAGGAGGCCAGCAGGACGCCCACGCCGCTGGAGAAGTTGTGGCTGGGGTAGTAGATGAAGCGCGAGGGGCGGTCGGTGACGGACTGCCCGCCGCGGATCCCGTCCTTTTCCCAGAACCTCTCGGAGCAGGCCAGGACGATCTTGGAGGCGCCGGCGTAGTGGACGGAGCGCAGGGCGTGGGCTTTGGCGCGGGAGAGGGGCGGCAGGAACTGGATGTGCCGCGTGGCCTTGGCCGTGGAGGTGACCAGGACGTAGTCGGCCGTCACGGCCGTCGGGGCCAGAGTGTCCGGGGCGCGGTAGAACACCCGGACCTCGTCCCCCTTGCTCACGATGGTCTCCACGGTGCAGTTGAAGCGGATGACGCCGGGCAGAGACTTCTGGAAGGCCTCGGGCAGTTGGTCGAACCCCCCCGTGATCTCGTCGAAGCTGTCGAGGGGAGGAAGGAGGAGGTGAAGGGCAGGACTTTGGGGAGCTCTGCCGGGGACGCCGGGAGCGGTCCCCGCTTGGAATCCCTCCGGAATTCCACCCGAAACAGGAGCTGGGCCTAAAAGAGTTAACTGAGACTTCTTGGCCTGCTAAGAAACCCCAACACCTGTTGTGCTGGAAGAACATTTTAAGATCACAGTAAATCTCATGTTCTGTTCTGCTCACTGGACCTTATTACAGAAAGAACAGGAGTAGCACACACAGAATAATAAATCAGGCAAACTGGACGTTTGAATAAGACCTAGAAGGCCCAGAGCCAGGATTTTGCAAGCTTGAAGAATTCAGGTCACCTCACCGAAGAGGTCAGATTGAGGAAGACATCCATGGCAACCACCAGAGGGATGAAGGCTGGAGGAGAAGACCCCCCACAGTAGAAAATTGTGGAGAGCCCACCCAGAGACCAGCCTACTTATCAATATGTACAATAAATCCGATTTCCCGGCCCGAGGAGGAGCCGCCCGAACTCACGTCTCGTTGGAGAAGACGTCGAAGTCCCAGAGGGAGGCGAGGAAGGAGAGGTAGAACCCGGAGTCCTCGTTCAGCAGGTCCCCGATCATGTCCACGGCCCCCCGGCTCAGCCCCCCCACCTTGATCAGGTACTCCTGGGGGAGACACCGCGACGACGTCCCGAGGTTGTTCCCACCCCGGAATTCCCGCCCCGAGCTGCCCAAAGACTCCTCCAAGCAGGAGTTTGATGCCTCCTGTCAGCATTTTTAAGCAGAAGGGATCATTTATTAGGGAAAAGGAGTCCAAAAGGGACAGAGGGTGTGGGATCAGAGCGGCACAAACCCAAAGCAGGGAGGGCTCGGTTAATTAATTAGTTAAAGGCTAATTATCAATGGTGGGCATTAAATTTGTTCAGGAACCCCAGCCCCTTTCACCTTGGTGGAGAAGGAGTCGTGTTTAGCCAGGAATTCCTGGCAGTCCGTGTCCTGGAACTTCTTGAAAGCCTGGAAAAACAGGGATATTTTCCTGGCAAAAAGCCCATTTCCCAAAAATGTCGCCCCGAATTCCTTCAGGATTCCTCCGGGGTTTCATCCTGAGCCTTCTCCAACTCATCCCTGAACCCTCCCCAGCCCCTGCCCAGCTGAGGGTCCCCCCAAACCTCGAGTGTCCCTGTTTTTGGGGTGCCCTGGCCGAGCAGGTCCCTCCCAGCCTGGGGTGCCCCTACTTTTGTGGTGCTCCTGTTTTGGAGTGCCCCTGGTTTTGAGGTGCCCTTTTTTGTGGTGCCCCTATTTTTGTGGTGCCCCCATTTTTGGGTTTCCCCTGTTTCTGTGGTGCCCCCATTTTTGGGTTTCCCCCGTTTTTGGGGTGCCCTACCTTGTGCAGGGCCTCCCTGTAGAGCTGCCAGGCGCTCTTGCCCCTCTCCCAGGGCTCCAGGGGGTAGTTGAGGATGTCGGGGTCCTTCTCCACCTCCCCGGCCCTGACCCGGGCCCCGTTGAGGAGGAACCAGGTGTTGTTGTCCCGCTGGATGAAGGGGTTGAGCTTCAGGCGGAACTGGCGGATGAACTCCCGCACCAGCCTGGCAGAGGGGAGGGCGAATTTCCCCCAAAATCCCTGAATTTCCCCCCAAAATCCCCCTGAATTTCCCCCCAAAATCCC